TTCATCTTAGTATTTTACACATTCCAAATATTCGAGAATCGAGGTGTCCTATGGATTGAACCCGTCAACCCATTTGAATATCTGAAGATAAAATACATACAATTTTCTATACTCAACTAGAATACAAACTTGAAACAATTATAAAGCCGTGTGTCCTAATCCCATTCATGACCGTATAAAAGCCAAGTCCCAAGTCTTTTGAAGTGCGGCTACACTTCACGATCATATAGGTAATTCCTTTATTCATGTACATGCTTACACTTTATCAAAGGAATTATTAAGAAATAAATTCAGCCTCTAATGTTGTATTGGAGGGGAATTGGGTGTCTCGCCATTAAGGATTAAATGAACTTTAAACCCATCTGTATCACGGATTTGTGCACTAAGTCCCGGGCCAAGCTTTTGGTCATGTGGTCCACCAAATTATGTTGCGATCTTACAAACTCAACCGAAATTACACCTTTCATGATTAATCCCCTAATCATACTATGTCTAACACCCAAGTGTCTAGACTTGTCATTATAAACATGACTATATGCCTTAGCCAAAGTGGCAACACTATCACAATGGATAGAAATAGGTGCAATCGGTTTCCTCCACAATGGAATCTCAAAAATTAAATTTCTTAACCACTCCTCCTCTTTACTGGCGGTAGCCAACACAACAAACTCAGATTTCATTGTTGAACTTGTGATACAAGTTTGCTTCTTGGAAGCCCACGAAATGGCACCTCCCCCAAGCAAGAATACCCAACCACTTGTAGAAGAATGATCCTCTACAATGGATATCCAACTGGCATCCGAATATCCCTATAACACCAAAGGATACTCAAAGTAACACAAACTATAATTCATGGTTCCCTTTAAATACTTAAAGACTCTCTTCATTGCTTCCCAATGTTGAGTACTAGTATACCTGCTCAACCTACCCACAACATAAGAAATATCCGGCCTGGTGCTTATCATGGCATACATCAAACTACCAAGCTAGTATGTGTGGAGTACACACTTTTATATAAGAAAGAGTTATAATCTAAAGTGTCTACAACAGTGGAACTCGTGGTAGAACACTCAGTAGACCAGCTCTGTGGTTCTAGACCAACTTCTAGAGCGGTTGGGTAGTTTTGTGCAGTTTTCCAAAAACTGTCATAGTTACTCTCAAACGTGTTGCAACTGCCTGGGACGTGTAATATGGATATGTATCACCATATTTCGCACAGAGGAGTAAGAGACAAGATACAACATATCTTGATCACTTTTGGCATTCAACTTAAGATAGCAATCCATATACTCACTAGTTTGGCTCTAGTTCTTGTGCCTAAGTTCTAGAGTGTCCTTAAGGATTATCTTAGATTGAATTTCTTGTAACATGGACATAGGGGAGAAATATCAATTCGGAAAGTGAACTTACACGATCCTTAAGCAATCCAAGTACTCAATTATCACTCATATACACACGAACCCCAACAATCGAATTGATATTCCTTTGTGATAATCATGAGTACCGTGCAAGAGATGACAACCAAGTTCAACAAATTGGACAAGTTTCAAGGGAATGATTAACGTAGATGGCAGAAGAAGATGCACTTCCTTCTCACCAACTTGAAGGTCGTGTACGCGTTGAGCACTCCGATGCCGGAAGTGATGGAGGATGAAACCTTGGAACAAACTACGAGACGTAACATGTGGGAGAACGATGACTACATATGTAGAGGCCACATTCTTAACGGTATGTCCGATGCGTTATTTGATATTTACCAAAACGTTGAGAGTGCGAAGGAATTATGGAATTCTCTTGAGTCAAAATATATTGTCGAGGATGCTTCTAGTAAGAAGTTCTTGGTGAGTGATTTTAATAATTATAAAATGGTTGAATCAAGGCCGGTAATGGAACAATACAATGAAATCCTTCGTGCTCTTGGTCAATTTAAACTCCACAAGATAGGTATTGATCAATCATATGTTGTGTCGAGTATAATTGATAAACTTCCACCCTCTTGGAAGGATTTTAAACGTAATTTAAAACATCAAGACGAGGAATTGTCATTGGTTCAACTTGGGAGTCATTTGCACATTGAGGAGTCTCTTCGTGCGCAAGAGAATGACCAAGTTAAGGGTGAAGTTGAATCTGGACAGCCTCATGCCCACTTAGTTGAGAATAAAAAATCTAACCTGAACAATAAGGGGAAAGGCAAAAGGCGCATATATGAAGACCATGACAAAGCTAACAAGAAACCAAAAGGTTTGGTTTGTTGGAGATGTCAAAAGATTGGGCATGTCAAGCGTGATTGCCGTGTGAAACTGAACAAGAATGGCGCTGGAACGAGTGGCAGTGGACAAGAACGGTCTATGGACCTGGTTCCACGGAAAGAAGTTCAGTTCTTGACTACTTTGATAATATGTCCAGAATTATGTATCACTCATTCCAGAATCTTTTTATGTACATGATGATGATTGTGCATGGTGGATTGACTCAGGGGCTACGAGCCATGTGTGTAAGAATAAGGGATGGTTTGAAGACCTAGAACTAGTAGAGGTCGGTTCCTTCTTACGCATGGAAGACGAGTCAATGGTACCAATCTTGGGAAAGTGTGTGGTTGTTTTAGAATTTACTTCTGGAAAAACAATTACATTGTTTGATGTTTTGTATGTACCGAAGGTTCAAAAGAATCTTGTTTCGAGAAGTATGTTGAATAATTTAGGGTTTAAACAAGTGATTGAATCCGATAAATATATTTTGTCCAAGGGTGGTGGTGTGTTTGTCGGTTTTGGATATTTATCAAATCGCATGTTTCGTTTAAATGTTGTGAATAAATTAATTTATAGTGATAATTCTGTTTTTGTGCCATCTTCCATGAATGATTCTATGATTTGGCATGCTAGACTAGCTCACATTAATTTTAGAAAAATGCATGAAATGTCTAAAGATGGTTTAATTCCGGCTTTTGATATTAATAATGATAAGTGTAGGACTTGCATGCTTACTAAGATCACAAAATAACCGTTTCCTAATATTGAAAGGAATTCGGCTATTTTGGATCTTGTACATAGTGATCTATGTGATTTTCACTCAACTCATTCCCTTGGCAATAAAAAGTATATTGTTACTTTTATTGAGGATTCAACTCGTTTTTGTTATGTGTATTTATTACACACCAAGGATGAAGCTTTAGAGAAATTTAAAGTGTATAAAACCGAGGTTGAATTACAATTGGGTAATCTGATTAAATGTCTTAGGACTGATCGGGGAGGAGAATATATGGATCCCCATTATTTTCAATCTGTTGGAATCATTCATGAGACCACGGCTCCGTATACACCAAAACAAAATGACGTGGCTGAACGGAAAAATCGAGTTTTAAAGGAAATTGTTAATTCCATGCTTTCTTACTCGGGTTTTGAGTGAAGGGTTTTGGGGAGAGGCTATGCTCACGGCCTGCTATGTTTTGAATAGGGTTCCAAACAAACGGAACAAGACAACCCCATTTGAGCTTTGGTACAAAAAAGCGCCAAATTTGAAATATTTTCGGGTTTGGGGTTGTAGGGCGATTGTAAAATTGCCCGAGCCCAAAAGGAAAACTTTGGGAGAAAGGAAAATTGATTGCATATTCATAGGGTATGCTGAAAATTCCAAGTCCTATAGGTTTTATGTAATAGAACCTAACGATGCGGTAGCGGTTTTATGCAATTAGGTTGCTAATTGCTTTGGTGTCTATAGCCGATTTTATGCCTTAGGGGCGGGTGTGTTTATATGTCTCTATGTAGATGACATGCTGATTTTTTGGAACGGACTAAAATCATGTTGATGAAACTAAAAGATTGTTATCATCATGGTTTTCTATGAAGGACATGGAGGAGGCGGATGTGATCCTTGGAATAAGGATTAAGCGGGTAAACAAAGGGATTGCTTTGACACAAGCTCACTATGTTGAGAATATTCTCAAAAGGATTAATTATAGTGATTATTCACCCGTTAGTACTCCCATGGATCCTAGTGTGAGGTTGATGCCTAATAAAGGAAAGGCGATATCACAACTTGAGTACTCTCAATCTAACCAATTCACCTTGTTTATCCTAACAAAGTATAGGGAAGTTCAATTTGGCTAATATATTTTTTAAGACGACTCAAATGACAATAAGTGCAAATTCACAGGATCCCAACATAAGATCTGGATTCTGGGGTGGACATCTCATTAGATTTCACATAAATTGGTGATGAATGAGTCTTGGACTCTTGGAGTATCTGTGTTATTCCAAACCTCAGGTGTACCAAATAGGCTTGTTCCGAATTTCACAAGGATAAAAGTAGATTTTTTCAAATTGAGTAGAACAATAGCTCCCTTAAACAGCTTCTACTTAATGAGATAACACCTGGTTGGTTTGATCTGGTTTACTTTTTTTGTCAAATGTGATTAGAATATAAATATAACGTGACCTCCATGCCTCCATCTTATGTCTTCATAATTTACTTGTGAAGGAGCCAGCCACACACATGCAAAATGAGTGGTCTTAGGATTTCCGCACATGAAAATTATTTTTTATCCATGTCATTTTAGTCCTACTTTTCCTTTTAATTTGTACCATAATTATATGCACCATTGTTTTTAGACTATATTGCACCATGTTAATATATTGCTAATTTGACCATAAACTTTGTATTTTGGCATTGGTGGTATATTGTACCATGAAATGCAATATGTGGATGGCTCCTAGTAGCACCGGGTCTTTATCATTAGATTCATTCTTTCACCATTGTGTTAGACTCCATGAGACGAGAAATTCCTCCTTTTGTGCCAGAAGCCGACTGTTGTTTTATTAATATAACAACGACAACATCCAAGCCTTAATCCCAAAATGTTGTTTGTGATATTGCGAGCTCTTAAATGAGAAAAGAGTAGTTTTTTTCTCAAACAAGACCAAAATACTCAACATTAAGGCATTGAAAATATAAGTAACAGTACTGTATGTTTAACATTTCTACTCCTAAACTAAGAATGCATGTTGTGAAAACAGTGCAAATAAATTGCTTTATTGATCTTCTAAAGTGACTTATTAGAGATCACTTTGTTGTCTCTAAACAGTCACAATTATTCAAGCAAGGAGGGAGTTAGTTCAGAATTCTAAAAAATACATATAGGCAGGCCTTAGTAATCACATGGAGTTGATTATAAATCTACAATTTTCTTTACCGTGTATCAAGTTGGCTGACAAGGCCTAAATGATAAAGGATTGAATTACCATTATATAATTCCAGAAATATCATTTGACTCCTTTAGAGGGGGTCGACCACCACTACGCCACCTGCAGGTTCATGGTTTAGTATATTCTCGGAATAAGTCTCGAAGCAAGGGTTGATTTGAGCTTGCTCCCCCTCAGTATAAGAGCTAGGAGCTTTTAAACTCTGAGGAGATATAACAAGATGACTTTCGCCACGACTATGAGGTAGGTTCCTCCTTGGCAAGCTCAATTGAAAAGTTGCATTGCTCTCATTATAGAGCTTATCTAGAAGTTGTGACTCGGGCATTTCTGCAACTCTTGTTGACAAGACTACCGTGGGTTGATGGAAGAGCAAATGAGCAACGATTCGGTCTATTGGATTAGTTTCTTTCTCTACGTTAGGCAACCTAGCAATCCTGTAATTACTGCATATAGCAAAAATAACAATTTCGCTTAGACTCTTAAGGGTGTCTTTGAATCCAATTAAAAGCAAAAGAAAGGAGTGAACAAAGCTAAAGAAACGGGTTTTTTGTGTTTGGTTTAACCCCAGAAAATGGAACGTGATAAATGAACTTGAAAAGTTTACATACGTTTAAATATCTCAAGTCTTCAAATAGAATGAGTTTGAGCAAAAATAAAAATTATAAATATTGAGTTTGAAGCAGTGATTTAATTCCTCCCACATTTTCTATTCTTCCAGATTTCACAATGTTCTCCCTATTTTGCTCCCCTAACACTCTGAGTTCAAAAGAACCCAAATAGATTGTGAATTTCCACTTTTCATTATAATATAAATGAGCATTGTATAACTAATACCTGTTGCTACTGTTTATCTCGTCCTGGTTGGGAACCGATTCATGGATGCCTTTGTTTGTGCTGCTTGTGTCGTTAATAATGTGCTGTCTTTGTGCTGCACTTTGAGCCAGTCGAAACAAGCTGTCTCGGATGCAGAGCCGAATTCGTATATCCAGCTGATGAAAAACACACAATTTGTTTTAGTAATGTCAGTGCCCGTTTGCTTGTTTCAACAGAGATGTCATATATGAACTTCTAGGCTATGTAATCTACCTTATAATTTAAGTATTAGCTTTTTAAATAAGTTTTGTTTGGTTAAGTCAATCCTATTTTAAAGACATCTTTTCATGTCATTTTATATTTCTTACTAATTTATGAAGTCACTTTTACCAAAAAGTATATGAGATCCTATAAGTTAGCTTATTAGCTATAATATAAACTACGGAGTATTAGCTATAAGTTAAAAAATATCTTATCTGTTGTTAGCTTGTTTTCCGGCACAAAGCCTTAGTATTTTACACGTTACAATTACCTTTGAGACTATGTCTTGAAGCCGGTTAAGCACTGATTGTTCCATGGATTGATCTTCAAAGGAAATCCCAGCTGTACTAGGATCGTTTTGTTCTAAAGGTGAGTTTGGGTCAACAATGGAGGGGATAGTGCACATATTGTCTTCAACTCCCATATAATGGTCCGTGGATAAGACTTGATTGCCAATTTGCTGCTGCCGTTGAGTTGCAAGCATTGCTCTCATCTGTTGTCGCCTCCTTAATTTTTCAATCTTCTCCTGCGGAGTCATCGGCATTCTTTTTGCACTGGGACTCACATGGGGCTGTGTCAAAGTGGACACTGGATACTGATTAGTGAAATCCCCAACCACGGGAGAAACTAAGATGGGGGGTCCTGGGTATTGATTGTACTGCAAAGATAGAGGACTCTGAAGATGGTTTGACTGAGAAAGGAAAACGCTTGGATATTGCTGGTTCGCCAATATGCATTGGTCATTGAGTTGGCTCATGGAGGGTGACCATGATTCGCACAGACCCTGTGGTTGACTGATATGCCCGTGCTCTTCTGATTTATTTCGTCCTTCCAATGGTGCTTTTTGACTGTTCTCCTGTACACGTGAAAGAAACTAGAGCAACACTCTGATGTTCAAAAACATAATTTGAAACGGGAATAATTATTGCATGTCACCGATGCAAGCATTATATTGTACATTTGTACTCCCTTTGTCCCATTATTATCTCATGTTTTAACTTGACACGGGGATTGGAAAAGTGAAAATTGTGGTTGAAAGTTGTTGAGAGAGAAACATAATGAATCACAATTATTTGTTTTAAAAGAAAAGAGGAGTTTATATCAGCACGGAGGGAAAAAAGAAAGTATGGAGTTTATTTTGGATTTGGGAATAATAAGTTAATTAATGTAGTAGTATTAGGGCTTTCTGTTTTCTCTTCTCATATGTGTTATATGAACCCATAATATCATATCCTTCCACCTCCAACTGTGATTTCCATTGTAGTTGGGTTGTGTGTAATGAATATATGCTGATATAGATACAATACTATAGGTTTGGAATTGGAGAAATTTAGATTTACTCATTTACAGCAATCGGGGAAATAAACTATATACGAAGTATATAACAACAATAAGCATAAAAAGCAAAAGCATGTATTGGATCTATTAGAAATAAGGTCACTCTACAAATTAAACTAAAGTAATGAGTACTTAATAATAACTTACCATGCTCACAAGATGGAAGGATAAAAAAGAAGTTTGTAGTTCTATTTATAAAAGGAGTAACTACAAATGTTAGCTGACTCTCGGTGGCAAAGTGGGAGGGAATACCTTCCCTGCCAGTTGTTTAGGTATTGCATCAATTCCAGTATCAAGCTGCAAATGGAATGCCGGAGCTTCACCTCCTGTATCTGAAGCTCTCTGTCAAAACAAGATATGCAGGAGAGTCAATTCTTAGAAAAAACGAACGAATATGTAAAAGCAAAAGTTTATGAGATGGAAATTTAGAAATTTGCATACAAATAACCACAGAATATTTACTTCCACCTTTTCCTTGAGGAAAGGAATTATTTTGTCAGTCTCATATGTATGTAGAGCCTGTGAAGCATCTTGTGTGATATTTTTCACTTTATCATATGCATGGTAGAACGTTTGGTATTGATCTAGCAAGTATTCTTCTTCATTCTCAAAGTTCCCTAAGGTGCTTCTCAGTTCTCCTAACCCCAAATTTGGAGACTCAACAGACATGGCAATAGACTTCTCTGGACTTTCCATTGGATCCTTGGAAGATGACCATAGTTCTTCAGTATTAGGAAGGTTTGCATATCCAATTATTGGATCGTCATTGCTGCAGATGTCATTTCTTCAGAAAGAAACCATCAATGCAGACATCCATATATATATAATATTATAATTATATACTTATAACAACACACATTAAAGAGGTCATCAGTGACCAACTGACCACACAGCAGAGACAAATGAGTTTGGTACTATAAGTGTATATGAACAACTTACCTAAATATTTGAAGCGTTAAGTGTATATGAACAACTTACCATCAATGCAGACATCCAGGTGTGTGTGTGTTTATATATATATATATATATATATATATATATATATATATATATATATATATATATATATATATATATATATATATATATTTCTTTGAAGATTAAGAACCAACACTTTACGTCTTTACCTAAAAAAATTCTCAAGGTCGTCAAAACTTCCGATGCTATTCCAGTCATACTCAATAAAGTCACTTTGCTCCCCATCCTCTTGCTGCTTCTGAAAAATCTTAGAATTGGTTCCTTGTTGAACTGTCCCGTCTGCTAAAAGCAAGTAAATTATATGTTTTTTTAAAAGTGTTTACCCTATGCAGAAGAAGAAAGAGGTTGCACCTTCATGTTCAGAAATTTCTCCAATGTGGTTAGATGGTTCTTTGCTGAAGAAACCCTGATCTGCTTTCGTAGGGTCCTTTTGAAAGTTGGAAAATGCTAGAGAAGACAACAGTGAGAAAAATAAAAGAGAAATTAGGAATAAATGAAAATGTGGGCGGGTAAGGGGGTAAACAGCATTGGCCCAAACCTAATTAATTTATTTTAGTATTCGTACATACTCATTTTATTTAATTCTATTATATATAGACTGAGAAATGAGATGCTTCTTTTCGGACTAAGGCTTGGATGTTGTTGTTGTTGCATATAAAGACTAAGAAATAAAAACATATGTACAAATTTAAAAAACGCTAATCATATTTCATACTACGTATTTCTTAACAATTTCTGATGCAAAACCAAACACAAGAAAATAGAACTCCTTAGGATTTTCTTTATTTTACCTAGCATTTTCGGGGATCCAAACATGCCCATAGTGTTTTTGGTAAGGAAAGGTGGAGCCATAAATCCTTACCGAATTCCAGTGCAGGATGAGCTTCATCAGCCGCTGATGCATGTTTGGAGCTGCTTCCTGACCTAATATAAGAGCCACTTTTGGCCGCTAGTTTCTTCTGATCAATAAGCTTAACCTTTGAAGCTTCATTATCCCATTCCTCATTAACACAATCCCCATATGAAGTTTGAGGTTTCCCATCAGTTTCAACTGGATATGGAACTAGATGATCATCACTTTCCCCAGTCCCTCCCCATATAATATCTGAAAGCTGATTAAAAATCAAATGAAGGATTGTTACAGTCTTACAGACCAGGTATGCATTTCCAAATAAATGTCAGATAGTAGATGTAAAACACATTTTTAAAAATGACATTGTGCAAATAACTGCACAGAGACCAAAAGCCAGCAGAACAGAACAATAGCACCATCAAAACTTTCTACTCCCTGACCCTCTATGAAATCTATTTTTAAAGCATATATAAAGGCTAATCTTAGAACTTGGACAAAAAACTAGATTCACACAGAACAGATTACAGATGAGAAAGTCTGAACCTTGTGAACAATCAAGAAAAATCTTGACCGCCAAGGTATGAAGTCAACCAAGGATCATTTTTTTTTAATTTCACCTTCATATACAATGAACCATAGCAATTAGGAAACGAATCGAGATTTCTGCATAAGTAAAATGAAAGGCAAAAGAGATAGTGAGTACCTCTTCGTCGTCCCAATCAAACATAGCTGAGAAAAGAGCAGAACAGAGAAATTCCAATTCCAAAGCTACAAACTCCGACGTAACGCTCCTGATTTAGCTCGAACATCGCCAAATCGTCGCTGCTCGGTGTTGGGTTTGCTTAGGAGAAAACTAAATTAAACATGATGAAATTATAAACAACAAGGTTAACTCCAATGCTCCTACGCTCAAAGGACGAATTAGCTCTCCTAAATCGATTCTTCGGAAATTACGGCGGATAATTACGGTGAGTTTTCCGATTACCTCGCCGGGATTTTACTAGCAGAGCAAATGTTTTCTCGGGGGCGACACAGAGTAGCGAGAAAAGAGTAGAGAGAGAAACAAGGAACGAGGTTTTCGGGTGCGCGCGATTTGAGGAGTAAGTGGGCCCCGGTCCACGTGAGGAGCGAGGATTATAAAGTTTATGGCCTACCATGCTGCCACGTGTAAGGAAGCGTATCTAAATTTGTGGCTGAAAGCAGCAGATCCATTGATAGGCTCTAATTGTTTGGTGGTATATTCCAATTTGTGAAAATTATAAAAGGGAACCCTCAAGTTGGGTTTAATATGCTTTCTTGCACGTTTTTTACTATTCCTAGTGTGATTTTGTATTTTTTTACACTAGAGGTGTAAAGGAACCGAACCGAGTTGAATAGTGTGATTTTGTATTTTTATTTGAATATGAAATGAATATTAATTTTGATTTGTATTCGTATTTATTTAACAATACGAATCTGGGATAGAGGTGTGTGTATGGGTAGGGGGCATAGTAGTAGTATGAAATAAGAAAAAAAAGATTGGGTCAAAATTACCGGATAGAAGCTTGCATTTGAGACACTTTCGGGTAGAATTTTTTGATGAACTTTTGTGAACATATATTTCTTAAAGTGTAGATTACATCCACCAAATTTCATCTTATATTTCAATCGGAAAGTCCATTAAATAAATTATGAAAAAATACTGTGTTTTTATTTATTTATTGGCACAATGTTTCTCAATAATTATTTAATCGACTTGCCGATTGAGTTTTAAACCGAAATTTGATGTGGATAATCTACATACCACAAAGAACATTGTCACAAAATTTCATCAAAATGTTCCACTCGGAAGCACAACAAACGTGTGCATCCGGACAGTCACTACAAAAAAACTCGCCCTTTGTCACGGATTTTGTCATGGACCGTAGTTCAAAAAATCCGTGACAATTAATTTTTGTCACGGATTTGTCACGGATTTTTTCCGTGACACCAGGGGCGTGATAACGTTTTTGTCACGGAATTTAATCCGTGAGACCGTTTGTCACGGATTTATCACGGCCACCGTCCGTGACAAAACACTTCACCGGAACTCCATCGCCTTTTATTTGTCACGGCCACATCCGTGAATAAATTTTTTTATTTTTCAAAAAAAAATAATTATTTGTCACGGAAATATCCGTGACAAATTTAAAAAAAGGTTTTCGAAATAGAGTGGGCGGGTATTTGAAACGATCTGAAAAATTCAAATTTTTAATTTTGTCACAGACATATCCGTGACAAAAGATTTTGAAAAAATTTTGAAAAATTTCGAAACATGTGGGCGGGTACTTTAAAAATTTCAAAATTTTGAACTTGTCACGGATCTCATCCGTGACAAAACATTTTTTTTAAAAAAAATACGTTATTTTCTTAAAAGTTTTAATACATTATTTTCTCAAAAAATACGTTTTTGAACTTGTCATGAATCTCATCCGTGACAAAAGTTTTAATTTTAAAAAAAAATTAAAAATTCAGCGCATTAATTTTTTGAATGTTTTTTTCAAAAGTTTATTTAATAAATAATAACCATTAAAATTTAGGCGCTTTTAAAAAAATTTAAACATAAAATTACTAATTAACTAATAGTAATATGTTAATGGCATTAATCGTTTTAATTATTAACTAATTCACAATATTAGAATTTGTGCACCAAACAATACTAAAATTATGAAAATCTAATAGTACACATTAAATAATTAACTAACATATAATACTAATTACAGTTATTATGTTAATGACATTTATTCACAATACTAAAGTTAACTAATTTAACTTATTAATTAGTTAATTTCCATTTAACTAATATTGTTAAATATCATTAATTCACAATAATATATAATTCACACTTAACTAATAAAGTTTGAATCCTAACTTAAATCACTACAAATCCTAAATTATGCATTAACAATAATTAACTAATAAACAAATTAAACCTAATAAGCATCATTGGTTATAAACCCATTTCAATTAACTAATATTTAAATGTAACTAATATTATCAACTCAAATTCTAAACCCATTTCCTCAATGTTTTAACTTAGTTAATTAATTTACATTTAACTAATATTATTGTTAAATATTATCTCATTAATAATTCACAATAATAATTTACACTAAACTAAATAATAATAAAGTTTCAATCCTAGCTATATTATGCATCCCATTAACAATAATTGCTAATAAATAATAATTGGTGATAATAACCTAAGCTAGCTAACTTAATTAAATCACTACAAGTCACTAATTAATTAATCTATAATAAGCTAGCTAATACTTAATTAAATCACTACACATCCTAAATTATGCATTAATAACAATAATTGCTAATAAACAAATCGGCCTAATCATTGGTGATATAAACTCATTTCAATTAACTAATTAATATTTATATTTAAATTTAACTAATTAAATTACGTTAATAGTTTAATAATATATTGTTAATAATATGAAAATTAACATGACCTCACTAAATTACGTTAATAGTTTAAATAAATGAACAACTAACCTCACTAATTAAGCTAATAATTAATTTATTACACAAATAAAAGAAATTAGTTAAAATGACATACTTTATCTGCATAAACTGGGAAAATGATGAACTGACGGATTACATCATTCAATCTTTAAACCGATACTACATCACTCGAATCTACGAATTTTTGAACTGATAAGTGTTGTTCATGCAAATGTAATGGACGATGGGGTTGGGTTATATAAAAAAAATTATCACAGATTTGTCACGGATTTATCCGTGACAAACCTTTTTTCGTACTGTATTATTAAAGGTTACCGCTGGAAAATCAATAATTAAAGTTTGTCACGGATTTTGTCACGGTTGGATCCGTGACAAAGTTATTTTGAAATTTGTCACGGATTTGTCACGGACCTGTACGTGACAAATGCCCGGGAGCAAAAAAAGTATTCACCGGAATAAAAAACCGGTCGTCGGAGTAAATTTGTCACGGACAATATCCGTGACAAAATATTGTCACGGGTTTTGTCACGGACCTATCCGTGACAACACATTTTCGTGACAAATCCCAATATTCCGTGACAAAGCCCGTGACAACTTTGTCACGGCCGTAATCCGTGACAAAAATCCGTGACAAAGAGCGAGTTTTTTTGTAGTGAGTGGATCTCGTCAGGTAATTCTGACAGGATCATTCCACATGAAATAATTACATATATATATGATTAAAAATATGAAAAAGTATGTTTTACTCCTTAAATAGATCTTATTTAGTTCTATTAAAAATAATTTGATTACAATTTGCCAAAATATGAGTAAATAAGTCCTATTTTGAGAATAAAACAATGATTATCCTATTTATGAAATTTGTTTTTATTTTAGTCCTATTTAGAGAATTTTTTCTTTGTTCTTTGTATTTCTGTTTGACCCTGATAGTTAACGAATCTTATACGAATATCGAATTGATTTGAGCATAAGTTAAATATTAGTCACATATCACTTTTAAAAAACTTTTCTTAAATGTTGGAGTATGTGTTTTTTGAATTTAATTTGTAACAATACTTTTTTACTTACAATGTAATGGATCAATGCATTTTTAGGTTCTGCACAATATAATAAAGGGATAGATACAAATATACCCTTGTAGTATGCGTGTGAGAACCAATATACCTCTATTCTATTTTTCAGAACAAAAAAAAACCCCTTGAAGTGCATATATACCTCTGAACTTTTAAAAAGTGCAAAAATACCTCTCATGTTCTTCTAAAGGAGCAAATTTACCCTTGTTGACTTTAAATAAATAAAATAAATTTAAAAAAACACAAAAAATACATTATAAATTCGAAATTTAAAAATAACGATTTATTATTATGTTAAAATATCAACTCTTTAATTTTAGATTTCAAAATTATTATTTTTCTGTTGTAAATCAAGCACTTTGAATTCATTAATTTAATTTTAGACTTGTTGCAAAATTTAAACACATCATTACATTTTTTGAAATAACATTCTTTGGTTTTGTTTAACCGTGATAAAATTAGATTCACTATTTTGTAATCTTGGAATATTTATCATCATACAAAGTATGCAATTTTTATAGTGCAAAGAATGCAAATAAATAAATAAATATAATTTACATTGTAACACATATGTTAACACTTTTTCGAAAGTATGTTAAATATATAGTAATGTTTTGAAATAATATTTTATACTAACAATATTAAATTGTGATATACAAACAATACAATGGAGAATTGTACGCAAGTACAATTTTAAAAATTTCAATTTTTAAATTTTTAATTTTTAATTTTTAATTTTCTTTTTTTATTTTTTGAAATTTATTTTATCAATTTATAGTCAATAAGGGTAAATTTTCTCTTTTATAAGAATATGAGGGATATTTTTGCACCTTTAAAAAGTCCAGGGGTATATATGCACTTCTACGTATACATCGGAGGTATATTTGTTACGAAAAATAGAACAAGGGTATATTTGTTCTCACACCCATACTACAATGGTATATTTGTACATTTTCCCCATATTAAAATGAATGAATTTTACGATTAATAAAAATAAATTTATTTCAAACTTTCTGAAATAAACACTAATACACATATTAGAAATTATACTTATAATGTGTTAAATAAGTTGATCATAATTGTATATATCAAAGTCAAACGACTTTAATTTCATACATAGTATTATATATTTAACATTGCTATTGATAAACAACCCATTAGATATATAGTTTATATTATACACATGCACATATAGCGAGTAGTTGATCACACACATATTACATGATTGATTTAGTATGTTTATAAACGAATATATTTCATTATTCTTCAAATCGAATACATAACTTTCTATATTTGTATTTGAAATATGTTTGACCCAAAAATCTGATTTGTATTCGTATTTGTACTCAATATTTTCAAATTTAAATCATAATTTTTGAATCCAAATTGCAATTCAAAATAAAATTATTTGCTTCACTTACAACTCTTACCCCATATGACACATCTGACTTATTACAAATGGACTTGGAAATTGTATATGAATATATATAACACAAGACTTGTATATATATAAAATGTGTGTGTGTGTGTGTGTGTGTATAT